GAGAAGAGATACAGGTCTAGTTTTATTCTTTGCCACATAGAAAGCCAGTTTTTTTTAGCACCACTTATTAAAGAGGCTATCTTTCTTCCATTGAAGGTGTTTGGTCCCTTTGTCAAAGATAGGGTGGCTGAGTGTGTTTGGAGCTATTTCTGCATCTTCTAATCTGTTCCATTGATCCTTGGATCTGCTTTTTTGTCTTGTTTTGTCTTTTGGATTTTTGTTATTATTGTTGTTTTGTCAGCTCCATGCTGTTTTTATCATAATAGTTTTTTAGTTTCATTTCAAGTCAGGGATCATGATGCTACCTGCCTTGCCTTTGTTGTCCAGAATTGCCTTTGCTATTCTAGGTCTCTTCTGATTCCATATGAATTTTAGGATTGTTTTCTCTAATTCTGTGAGATATGCTACTGGCATTTTGATTGGGATTGCGTTAAATCTGTATAACAATTTTAAAAGAATGGCTATTTTCACTATATTGCTTCTTCCTACCCAAGGACAAGGAATATCTCCATTTTCTGATATCCTTTTTTTTTCCTCTCTCTCATTGAGTTTATTGGTTACATTTAGGTATACAGTACAGTTACATTCATCATTGGGATCTTGTACCTTTACATGACAGGTCTTGGTTCTCATTTGTTCCCCTTGTGTCTGCCCTCCCTTCATCCCTCCTCCCTCTGATATCCTTTTTTATTTCCTGTTTTAGAGTACCATAATTTTCAATATAAAGGTCCTTCACTTCCTTCATTAGATTGATTCCTAAGTATTTCACTTTTTAATTTTATTGTGAAAAGTGAGGTTTCCCTAATTTCTCTTTCAGTGAGTCTATTTTGTGTACAAGAATACTACTGATTTTTGAGCGTTGGCTTTGTATCCAGCTACACTTCTGGATTTGATTATTAAATCTAGAAGTCTTTTGGTGGAGTTACCCAAATATAATTCTTACTGTGCATTAAAATCATAAAAATTTCTAAAGCATTGACTTTCATGGATGGACCCTCAAAGTCCACATAGCTAGCCTGGCTGTTTCCTATCTGACTCCCTGAGCTCCTTCCAAAGAGCTGATGGATAGCTCCACATGGTGGCCTTGCAGTGTCCCAGCACATCCAGAATTAGGCTTGGAAGTCTCTGTCCTGACCTGTTCCTTCTCCCACATTTTGGCCCCATCTGCCTCACCCATCCCCAACACTACAGATATAACAATCTATCAGGCAGAATACTGCACTCCTCCGGCATGCCTCACTCCTTGCTCAAACTGAGTTTCACTCCTTTCCTTCTATCTCCACCTACGTCTTTGGATCATTTCATTGAGACCTCCCTCAAATGCCACTCTGAAGAACACCGATTCACTGTGGCTTCCTCCTCCTCATCCTTAAAGTCCCTTGCCCATCCCTCCCAGCATGCCTCCCCTTGGAGGCATGTGCCTTTCTGTCTTTCCAACAGCCCATGAGCTCCTCCAGATCTGCACTGTGTCTGTCTGCACACATTGCACCCTCAGCATCTAGGCTGGTGCTCAGTACATAGTGAATCTTTGTTAAGCATTTAATCAAATACTTTGTAAGTATTCAATCAAACACAGACAAGGAAGCCAAGAACATCAAGGGGAAACTTCACAGCTTTGTTCCATGTCTTTTCTTCCTAATCCACATAGTATATTCATCCTCCAAAAGAAACCCCAAGTGCACTAGGCTATCAGATCTACCTACCTTCTCCCCTCCTGGTCAAGCTAGATCCCCAGAATTCTGACTGATCACCATGGACCTTCTCAGAAGTACCCTCTATACAGCCCAGAGAGAGATCTAAGAAATAATCATACATGCCCCACATCTCCCACTTCCTTGAAAAGCAATCTGTCCCTAATTTATCACTGGAAGACCCTGCCATCCCTTTGTCTCTGGGTTTGTGTAAGGTGGAATCGAAGCAGTCTTTAGGAATACCTTCGCTCTAAAGTGGATCCACTCCATGCAACAACTTCTCTTCACTTTTTATGGGCCTAGGATAATACCTCCCAGCCGCTCTTCATTTTATCCTTTCCTGTACAAGACCCGGATATCTATCCTCCTTCCTAATGGCTTTTATCATGTCACCATTCTGCTCAAGTACCATTTATGTCATTCTATGGCCTAATGAACCAAACTCAAATTGTTCTCAATCTCTGGAGCACTTCGCTGGAGCTAGATCTCCATTGTTAGAGCTTGTCCACATCTTCCCTCACATTAATGAAGCCATCTTTTCATGTGTCTTTCCAGTGAATACCCCTGCATACACACAATGCAGACACATACCTACCCCACCTTCAATCATTTATTCATTATCCATATTTATTGTATTTATTATAGTATAATATATAAATATTATCCATTTTATTGTATTTATTTACTGTATGCCAGATACATAGCTTTTTGTCTAGAGCAGAGTCTCTCAATCTTTGCACTACTAACATTTGGGGCTAAATAATTCTCTGTTGTGATGGGCAGACTGTACATTGGAGTATCTTTCCAGCACCTCTGGCCTCTTCCCATTTGATGCCTAGGGCACAACCAAAAAATGTCTCTGCACATTGGCTAGGGGCAGAATTGGCCTCAACTGAGAACCACTGGTCTAGAGAAGTAGGGGGAGCTAGTTAGAGGTCATCTGGTGACCTGCTATAGAGGCAGGTTAATAGATCACACCTGGGAGTGAGATCCATGGTCCAGAAATCTGCATTTCAGTGGCTTCTTGGTGACTCTATCAATGGTCTCTGGCTGAGGAACACAGGACTGAGATTTCCAGATAGGAAACAGAATAATAATTCCTTGAATTAGTTCATTAACGTTAAGATATGCGTATGAAATGAGATAGGTAAGCAGATATTTTGGCTGCAACTGATGTGGCAGCCACAACAGCATTCGAGATGGCAGCAGCCTTCCTGATGGACTAACCAGTGACTGAGCCATGTGCGGCAATGAAGGTGTGAGAGAGATGAGACAGGATGGTGCCACATGTGCATTTCTAAACATCTATTCCTACTCCTTTTAGTTGTGGATGTTCACAACCTCTCCAGCCAAATGGTATTCTTTCTTCACTCATATTCCACCTCCTCCAGACAATCCTCCCTAACCACATCAGCCCATCAATGCATCTCTTCTCAGACAATTTTACACTTACTTCTCCCTCTTTATGTCCATTTTGTTTTCCCAGACTTCAAATTCCCTGAACACTAGGACAACATCTTCATCTCCTTCTTTACAGATCCAGGGCTTCTTTCTAGGATCAGCACAAATAGTCCTTGCTTGGTAAGACTAAGCTGAGTCTCTAAAATAAGGCCTTAATATGTCATCAATGTGACTTGGAGGGTCAGGATCTCCAAGGGAGGGATGGGTAGCAGCTGGTGCACCTGCTGGGATCCAGACAACCAGCCCCTCCACCGAAACCAGGCAGAGCTTTTGAGAGCCAGCAAGCAGTGGTGCAATTGGCATTTGCCCTGGTACTGATACCTCCTCTGTTGGCCAGGCAGGGGTCTGGACAGCCCCAGCAGCACTGGGGGGAAGAAGAAGGCAGGAGTCCAGAACTTCTCCACAGGGGGAAAAGCAGCAAGAAAGCAGCAGGCCATGAGTCTGAAGAGCTGCAGTTGGGCTGGTTCTGGGCCTCTCTGTCCTTGCACAGGATCATGTCCAGGACAGCAGTAACCAAAGGAGAAGGTCGGTTCAGTAAGACCCAACAAGCCAGGAGATTCTGAAAATGTTCCTTAAAGCTACCCGCATCTCACAGAGCACATGAGCCGCCACCAATCAGGAAAGAAGGCTCTCTGGGAAGGTCAAGAGCAGTGACTGGCTAGAAACAAATGTTTAGGACAAGAGACCTCACTTTCCCTAGCTCTAGGAGGAGTTACAAAGAAGGGAAACAACCCAACTGTTTAGCATTCCTACTGGGAACAAGACCACCACTGAGGCTTCCCACCTTCCAGGGAAGGCCAGATTGGGGGCACATACAACTGAAATAGACCCCAAGGGGTGAATAAAGAACAACTGTTCTACTATTTCAAAGTTTTGAAAAGAAAATGAGATAGTTACACAGCCAGAGAGATCTTTTCTTTCCTGCAATGATGGAGGATATGGTTTTGGTGGGGAGACAGAGCAGCAAAGAAGAACATGGGGGATGGGGGTGTCACCCTATCTACCAAAGCATCTGGTATACAGGAATCGTAGAGACCCTTGGCCCAGGGGAGTCACCCACAGTGTTTTCCCCAAGCCAGCAGAGCTGCAGGAGGCAGCTGGCATTTCAGTGTAGACTGCATTTCAGTCCATTTCAGAGAGACTGAGGCAGTGTCTGACCTTCTGAGTGGCACCTTCGACTGCCCTTTGTTTTCTCAGAGTTTGACAGTGGATGGGGTAGGGGACAGGGGAAGAATCCAACTTCTGCACAGCTCTGTCCTTCGGCCTTAAAAATGAGAAACAGCTATCTGCTTAAGAAGGGATCAGGTAGTAGGTTCACAAATCCAGAGGCTAGCATTATAAGAATTCTCTCTGCCAATGCATCTTCACAGCCCAGTACCACCCCCACTCAACCCGATGCTCTAGGGGAGATAATGTTCCCCCTGTAAGGGGCCCACAAAAATGTAGTATCCGCCAGGTTTTAAAACAAAACAAAAAATAGACTCGATCTTGAGCCTTCGGGCTCCAACCAAATGGCCGCGGAACTATAGGTTTGGGGAACACGGATCGGATCCTTGCTGCTGCTCGAGGCATTTAAATAGATTTGTCAGCTTGGCTGCTTAGAATTCCAAACTGCTCGGCGTTTTTCAGAGCAGAACAAAGTTGTCAGGGCCTCCCAGCCAAAGACAAACGCTCTCCCGCCACTCACAGCGGAGATGCCCCTCGCAGCGCTAGGACCCAAGCTGACACGGGGTGCCTGGGCTAAGTGCAGATCCCACGGCCACTGGTCCCCGGGGACGCTGCGGCTGCAGCCACCAGGAGACTCGCCCACGGGCTCCGCGCATCCCACCCCTTCCTGGACTTTCTTACCTCTTAATGTAGTTCCTGCCATACAGGATCTGTTGCAACAAGGTCACCAACGCAAAGGCGCAGATGAAAATGAACAGCAAAGTTCGGTTCCCCAAGAGATCCCGGTTGGCCGAGGGGTCTGCGTAGCGCATCCTGGCGGCGGAGCGCCGCGGACGCAGGGTGAGGGGAGGTCCAGCAATCACGAGCCGGGTTCCTGGGCCCCGGGGGCCGTGCGGCCGACTAGGCGAGTCACTGCGCTGTCAGGCGAACGGAGGACTTCGCTGGGCAAAGTTTCCGGCTGGCGCAGTCGGAGAAAGGAGCATTCGAACGTCTCCG